CACATGGGAAATAGGGCAACTTCTTATTAATTCATCTCTGAGTATAAGGAGTGATGGAAGTGATAGATGGAAACAGAGCTTGGAATGGGGAGAAAGAGGAGAGGATAGAAAAAAATGGTGAGACTAAAAAATGTGAGAAAAATGATGTGAAAAATGAAATGAAGTAGCTGGTAAATGATTAAAATGACAGCAGTGAATCTACAGAGGAGACAGGATGATGAGGGACTGCACTGTATGTAGGGTAAATACAGAAAGAGAACTGGAGAAGAAAGATAAAAAATGGTATTTAGCACACACACAGTAGAACTCCGGCATTTGCTTAACTATTGTTGAACTGTACAAAAAAGTGTAGGTTAGCACTCACTGAAACAAACTGCCTTCTTCTGCCACTGAACCTGCTGTGATGGGGCAGTAACACTGCTGGATCAGAACCTCTGAGTAACATTAAACAGCCTCTTCAGTCACCATCTTGTCAACAACCCACTGAGAGAATGACAGGAGACATTATAGAACTTGTAATTCCCACCTTTCTCAGTGAGTATCTATTAATACTCTGCTAATTCAGTGAAGGGAGATTTACTTTTCTAATACAGTATATGATCCAGATGTACAGAAAATCAGAACATGCCTCTCCAGGTGACTGCTACAGATTCACCTCTACAAGCCGTTACTGTGAAATCTGGGCACTGTACTTAAAAAGGTGCTCAAATATGATAGGTCCCAAATCACTTGCAAATCGTGTAAAAAAGAATAGTTTACACTATTGAATGTTTGAACATGTGTGTCAAGTCCCACTTCATAGTGGTGTCTCTGTCATTTTTGTACATGTTTTAGACTGAGCCTGAGTTGATTGAGGAGACGAATGTTGACCGTCTAATGGGGCCGCGGGGGTTAACATATGGCTGGGGTTTGAAAGGCCACTCAGAGACGTCCACTCTGAGCTCACAGCCGTCCATTGACGAAGTGCGACAGCAGATGCACTTGCTGCTGGAGGAGGCATTCAGCTTGGCTTCAGGGGGGCAGTCCACATCCGGAAGGCACTCCCATCACCACCACCAACCCCCCTCTGACCATTACAACCCTGCACCGCCTCCCCTCCCTTATGCTGATGTGGTGACCAGTGCTTCTGGCACAATGAGCAGTGGACAGGGAGGCCTGCAGTGGGTACCATCTTATGGTACAGACATGTATCAGTGCAGTCTGCCTAAACCAGTAAGTGGGCTAAGATTATTCCCCCTCTCTTAAGAACGGTGTCTCTGTATCCTTAAATGACTTTCACTATATTTTTAAGGCCTTTCGCTTCACCCAGCTTCCTGAGATGGCCTTTGGTTCTCCACCCCCTTTACCACCTCGCACTGGACCTCCTGCTGGGACCTCCTTAAAACGGTAAAGCAGAAAAAGACATACACACACACACAAATGCAGACAGACAGATATACGCACTGTCAGTAGCTTCCTGAAGCCCATCAGATATTTCACATTTATTCACATTCAGATTCATATTCAGGGACCAGATATTCACTAGGTAATGTGCTGTGGCCAGGGTGATTTTAGGCCTTGTATAAATTTGAATATTGAACAAGTGCATTGAGAAGCGGCAAGAATGTTAATAAGGTACTCACTTGTCCACATGAGATGTGTTTGCCATCTAGTGCCGTTGATGTGGAATTGCAGCAGCGGTGGTCTGCATTTATGCGTCTCCATCTCTGTCCTACTTAGTTCCATGTCTGACTTGGGGATTAAGGGAAGGAACTCAAAGACATCAGTCAATGAAATGGAGAGTCAACATGACAACAACCCATATGGCCTAACCACTAGAGCAGCACTTCCATCGATCACTGCAGAGCAGCCTGTGTCCAACTACTCAGGTAAGCTTATGAGGAGATGACTTTGCATTGTAAAAGTAACCCATAATGCACTTTATTTCTATGTCAACATTCACTTTTAAAGAATAGCATTGTTCAGACAAAATGTAACTCAATAATTGGAATAAAAATCTTAAGGTGAATCATCCACTGGGAAACATTAATCAGCCGATGTCACGCTCTCTGCTTTTTTTTTCCACAGGAAACCCAATTACAGCCGTCTACGCCATCCCAGCCACTAGGCCTAGTGGCTACTTGGAATACTTTGTCTCCACACCACCCACTTCCTACCACAGTCCCTCTTGGATGTCCTATCCACCTGAACCTGAGGATGTTCCACCACAGTGGGCAGACTCCGTAAGAAAACCAATTTTGCTTGCTCAGGAAGCACCCAGTCCTGCTAGAAAATACGTCTATGCTGCTACAATAATGTGGCCAGATGTTTTGATTAAACTAGGACAGTCCCAGTTTTCAAGCATTTGTCCCAGTGCCCCCAATAGCTCTATTCTAATAATTCAACCTTTAAAACAAGCTATTTTAGTGCTATAAACAGAATAGAAGCTCCTTCTTACTCTTTGTTTCCCTCTCTTGTTTGTGTAGTAGTTGTTTAGACTTGATCAACCAGATGCCTTCACAAAATGCCTTTTTGCAGAACCAGTGTCATTTAGAAACCATTTAGAAACTGAATTTACGGCTGCCCTTGAGGGGTCACAGCAAAGTTCCAGGGTAGTTGTGCACATTTTCTAAGTGAACATTTACTTTGTGCCTGTTTTCTTTTCATTTCCTGTCATGTACATCTGACACTGATGAAGATCATTCAAAGGTAGATCTCAACACTCATTATTATCCCAGTTTAGTTCATCTTTCAATCTCAGTGGCAGATATTTCATTTTTCTAAAAGTGTTACAGAAGGTGCACAGGAAGGTGTGTCATCTACAAATACTGTACTTCATTTTTAGATGGAGGTTTGTAAAGAAAAAATAGAGCAAGAGACAGAAAACTGTAATAGAATGATTTATTTTTATTATGATTTAATTTTCTACTAAAGAAAAGTTCCAACAATGACTGTGTATGATGTCAATTACAGTTCTTAGAAAGAAACTAACCTGGAATCTACCAAAATCGGAATCGGCAGGTCAGACTTAACAAAAATATGAAATCGGAATTGGCCAAGAAAATCACAATCGGTGCATTTCTAGTATTTTCCCTTATCACCAACTTAATTCTTTGTAGAATAGTGGTGCAAGAGAAAATGTTTTTCAGCAAAATAAAAACCTATTGCATATGCTGTGTATTTCTAATTATCTCATTGGCAGCCTATATTTTTGTGGGTAGTAGCAATGTAAAGTTGCTGCATTATGAATTTAATGTCTACCCTATTGTCCAGGTGCCCCTCCCTGGATATGTAGAGGCTTTTCCTCATCCTCGCTACCCACAGGGGAGCCCCACCAGGCCGTCCCTGGAGTTTAACCAGGCACCAGAGCAGCCGGCCATTGCCCCTAGGACAGCATCCCAGCAAAGCCTGCCCCAGGTGGTGAAGGACATGGACAGTATGCCCCTGAGCAGCCTCTCCACCTCTGCGCTTGTGCAGGCTATCCGACAGGAGGTGGCCAAGCTGGCAAAGAAGCAGAATGACATATTTGAGTTTTAACTCTTCCCACTTGTGTGCAGGAGATGGTTAAGTGTTTATTGGTGTTCAACAAAGACACACAAAGGCAGTTCTCCTTTAGACTGATTTTTGATGTTTGTACTATAAAATGGACTGATCTTCTTTATCCACCGATTTCTTTTCACATACTACTGGTGTTTTTCAGCTCCTGACTTAAGGGAACAGAGAAGATGATGTTTTTTTAGAATATAAAAACCTCATCCTCTATTGATGATGTCGTAAGTAACTACATACATCTCTTCTTTGTAGATATGTTAATAGGATACGCTAAATATGGAAAATATACGTTTTTCCTGGATTACATATTTTTTGTGAATCGGCATCAGAAGAAGAGAGGAAAAAGTAACATTGTTGTCTGTACTGAGAGGACCAAATATTTCCTGTCAGATGGTTAAGTATAAACCATAGTGTATATCAGCATGTACTGTACAGTATAAGGACATCATGTATCTTATCTCCTTTTTACAGACCATTAGCTTCAACAAGATTGGCAGCATCTGTATCACTTCATTACAGCATCCATATCATATCATCAAACTACTAAATCATTGTTAAAATTCTTCAGTGTATTGTCATCATCATGCCATAACAATAACAAATGGTGACCGTCTTTGGTGGGCTAATCATTTTTTATAGATTTTAACTGTAGTTTCCATTAATTAGCAACTTGATAAAATATAGTATGTTTTATGTATCTTTTTGTTGAACCCGACTGAACACAAACTTTAAGCAGCATTTATAATAATCTGACATATAAATGGAAATGTTTCCCTTCATGTATCAAAAATATAGAGAGAAACATTTATTCTTGCAGTATTTGTTAGGATGTGGTTTGGATTGACACTGATAGACATTTCCTTTGAACAGTAATGGATGGTTATTATAGTATTTTGCTGCTACTTAATACTTAAAACATGACTTACAGTAATTATATGTTTCTTTTTTGAAGAAAACAAAAAATGGAAAATTAATTCATGTTTACAGCTTATTAGACATGAAAGAGTAGCAGTTTTATACTGAGCCCTGTGTGTTTTAATGCACATTCAACCCTAAAGTCTTTGTTACAAAATCCTCTTTGCTGCTGGTAGTGGGGTCAGGGTTTATTATAGGGTTACATTATAAATTATAGGTTTATTGTTTGTTTACTGGGCCATAGGTGGTCTTAATGATCTTAACTGGTGCACTTTATCAACAAGTTACAAAGTTCATGTGGGCATTTGGGCTAACAATTCTGAATTCTGTATATGGTTCAGCTCTACTTATTACCATAATTATTCAGCTTCAAAGAAAGAAATCAGTTGTCAGCCACATTAAATATCATGACAGAGTGACAGTAAAATCTTCCACATACACGTCACATAAAAATATTCTAAAACGAATCACAATTGTCATCGTATAAATAGAACTAGAGCTAGAATAAACAGGAGGCAGAGACATTGCAGCACATAAATCATAGCAAAGAATCAGGACCCAGAAATCAGACCCGATGTCAAGTACAAAGTAAAAGTGCTGTGCAGAAATGAAATATGCCTACAGTACCTTTTTTTTTTTTTTTTTTTTTTAACAAGGCTACCATACCAGGGTGGTGCACAACAGTAAATCTTCTATAAAGCAAAAGACAAAAATCACTGCACACATGAAAGGAATGCATCTTTTTTTAATACTCATACAGCACTCACTTTCACTGTAGCACAAAAGACTTCAATAGATAATGATGAGCTCTCATTGCAAAATTTGGGCTTGTTAATGAAAAGTGGGATGAATGCATGTAGGCCTATAGCAGGAGTGCTGCAATATGTTTGCATAAACAGTGAGATGCGATAGATTTCCTACTTTTGCTTATTATTGAAAATCATGTGAAATGGTTTGCTGGTTATTCTAATGCTGCCATAGGAAAACTGTGTTGTGACAGATCTGCCATAAAAAAGACAACTATGAGTGGAAATGCCTGTAAATCTGTATTTCCCTTTGTATAGCAGCATTGCTATTACAGCAGTCCTGGATAAATTTAGCCTTTTTTGCATTGTGACATTTGAACAGACCCTCTTGTTCTTTAAAGAACTGTTCTTTTATACTTATGCCTGTTGGTGTGTAAGTATGTATAAGGGGATACTGTATGTCTTAAATTCAACAAGAACTTGCTTGTTTCCCCAAGATTCCTTTTACTTGTGTGCCAGAGGGGCATGTAATGTCTTAACAACTATACTAAATACAGTGAAACCATTTTCCAGAAGGGAACACCTTTTCATGTTCTCATGCTGGATAACTGAGAAAACTTAGTGATATTAAATTAAAGGGTTTTAAGTGGTTTGTTGGTTAAGAACAAAAGATGAATAATTATTCTATAAAATGAAATATGAAGTGTATGTCTTTTTGTCTTCCTGACAAGTTTCCACACATTTCCTTTTCATCTGCTTGGTCTTGTTATGTTTGAGATTGATCTGACACAGAGACCTTGAGACAGATGGAGAATGAATGAAATATTAGCCTTCATGAATAAAATTAAATAAAAGATTTAATTTGAAGTACATAGTAAATCTATTTTCATTACCTCTTTTCTTTCTGCATGCCATTTTTACAAAACTATTAAAAGAGTTAAAGCCATTGTTGCACTGATGCCTCACTTCTATATTCTATATTGATGCTTACAGTACTGTAAGTCTGCTACAAAATAGAATACAGAAACACACATAGATGTATAGCCACTTGTAGAGTTTTTGGCTACCCAGAATTCTGGCGTTTGAAATACAGTTTTTGTCCAAGGCTAAGATCTTTGCAAATAAAATATTATGTGCTAAATATAAATGAAGCCTTTGTAATCAGCTCATAATGAATATATACTGTTGATGATGCATTCAAACTGGAATTGATCAATTCCTTTCATGTGGTAACTGATGATAGTCAGTTTAATGCAGTTTATTTTACACTATCTTTACCTTTCCATTAACTTAAAAAGCCGGAAGTTCCTTTGTATATGTGTCTCTATAATGTGTCACCCCAGGATTTTCAAATAATTTAGTGCATCCCACCCGAGCACCGGTGGCACTGTTGAGCTTGTTGCTGCTTGGGCGCACTACAACGAGCAGAAGGAAACGCCGAATTACTCTCGAGCAGGTGAAAATTGTGCTTTTTAGGAGGTGTTTTCAAACATCGTGATTTACTTTGACAAGTGATTAGACTTTAAGGTTGGTGACGAAATGGTTGATTTTGCGTATGTGCATCCGGTTCCTTTGCCCACTTCGGGTAAATTGTTGCGCACGGCAGTCTCACGATTATTTGGCTGGATCGAACTGTAGCATTTCACGTGAGTTCAGTGGCAAACCCAGGACGTTACTATCCCCATTTTATGTAGTTAACGAAGCTCGTGTATATGTCGGAATGTTATGGCATCTGTAAACACCACTGTCAGTTCATTGTGTTTACTAATAGGTTATTTGGAGAACTTTTGGCCTACAACGCGTCAAGTCACGCAAGAGACAACTGTGTTCTCCTTCGGGATGTCTATTTTGACAAGTGACTTAGCTACATAACACATCAGCACCTGTGCCAGTATGGACATTGTGTTTTTCAGGTCCCCAAAGTCCCAAAAGTGTCACCTGTGACACAAGTAAAGAAGGTATCATAGGGATTTCACATGGCAAGCTCAACGGCCATCCAGACAGCTAGACATGGCGGGCAGCTTGTTGACCCAGGATACCATCATGAGGGGACCACTAGCGCCAGAGCTGCTGACAGAAACCAGTGAAACTCAAAATTCTACTCAGATCCTCATTTCAACTTGAAATACTCCTTGTTACTTTTATACACCATTGTGATTCTAGTTGCCAGATGAGCAGCAGTGAAACTTATGAGTGGCCAGCCAGTTGATATGGTTACTGTTGTATTCAACCTGACAAGCAGCTCATTCAGAAAGGATGTAGGTCTGTTTGATTTATTTCCCCCTCACCTAAATCTTGTCTGTTTTATTTCTAGGACCGCTGCTAGGAACAAAAAAACACCCTGCTGAGGAAATCTGTGTGTATAGACCAGCCAGCCACAACTGAATTTCCTGCTGCAACCCTTCAGCTTGCCACTGCCATGGTCTTCACTGGATCAGCTTTTCTAAGGTCTCAAAGGTAAGTAAATCATTTGAACCTACCTATTTTAGTGAAAATTCCAGGTAGAATCACCTTCAATCTCAGTGGCAGATATTTCATTTTTCTAAAAGTGTTACAGAAGGTGCACAGGAAGGCGTGTCATCTACAAACTTTATACCAAAAAATAAATGGTAGAATATAAATATATAAAAAAATACACATTGTAATACTCAGATTCTTTTAAAGCATCTTATTGGCATTTAAATGCATTCCTATTCTGAATATACCCACATAACATATGAAAGAAATAGCATTTAAATGAAATGACAAGGTAAAAACCTTAATAGGTCATTCACACTTGTTTATCTGAAGTAAAACAAACATAAACAGTCAGTCTACTGTAGGACCTATAGTTTACAGCACATGTGACCTTATCTACACAAATACCTTTTGTATTCCATTGTTTATTATATGCACATTTGTGCTGCCTGCACCTGTGCCAGAATCTAATTGATCCCTCATTGCGTGTGTGTACAAATGGTGCAGTGAATCCGTAGTTCCACATTTTCCCACCAGGGCTCAGCCTAAAGCCATGCAAAGAAATGTCCTCAGTCATTAAGAGAGCCATATCCTTATCTAAATGAGCAAAGTCAGAACATGGCTAATTTGATTTTCTTCATAGAGAGAGAGGGATTTTGCACTCACTGGGAGTACTGTGATGCATGCACTATTATGTGGGGTGTACAAAATAACAGGAACACTTGTCAGTACTGTTTACTGTAGTTTAACACAATAGTATTGAAATAAATGCCACCTTTCTGAAACTTAAGTTCAGGTTTTGCTACATTTAAAATGCTACATTGGAAGGAGTGATGAAAATAATACTTCACGATTAAAATGGGGTGTTCTGTAAATGCTGACACAAAATCAAATAGCTAAAACCTGTTATTGCAGCTGGCTGATCTCTTAATGCAGAAATCAAAATGTATTTAATTTTGTAATCTTCATGTAGCTCTATATATGTTACTAATCATGTTGCAATTTTCATACAACAGGAATATATCAAAGGAAATAATGGATTGCTTTCAAGATGTCTGTCATTTACCATCTTCTACTTGACACATAACTTTGTGCTCCGTTTATATCTCCTTATGATAGGTACCCATTGTAATTCATCAACTTGTACACTGCTTGTGTAACAACTTGTATTTGTACTGATAATGTCTAGTTAGAGCCTAATTTGGCACTTGTAATTAGATGTGATCTAACTCTGAAGGTCTATTATCTCCAATAAAGGCTACTTAAAGTAATTACAGTACAGCCTTCTGTGCTGACATCAGCACACAGATTAGATAATTACCGCAGTGGCCAGTGCAAGGACAGGTCGGGGGGGTGGGGGGGGGGAGGAGATAGACTTGAAAGTAACTGATGGAGCCATTTCAATTTGCTGGCACTCAGGAGCATGCTTGCCCTTTCACATCACTCTCGAACTGGGCTGAGGTGTTGCTGGGAATGATCTACTGACAGTGGATGGTCCAAAAGGTTTTCCTCTATACATTTCACTTGACATAGATTTAAATGATAATTTGTGTTCCAGTGACTGAACTCTGCCCCAGTGGTGTAATTTTAACATGTGGGTGGTGGATTGAAAACCAGACTCAAACCCAGACTGACTAACTGAAGTGTCTCTGAACTACACAATGGAACAGCACATTACAATGATCTAATTGCCTGTTGTGCCTCTGCAGAACATGCTCCAGTTCAAATGAGTCATGCCTGTACAATCAGTGCATTTGAAGTCTAACAAACCTTCAGGGTTTTCATAACCATTGTTCTGCATGGCTCAGTTTGTTATTTCTTGTAATTCCATTGATGATTTTGTCTGCCTGCTCCAGTCGGTGCCATCACAGCAAATTCCAGTCCACAAAAGTTTCCCACCCCCGCATAAAAATGATCAGACCTGTTTATTGTACGCTGTGCATATCCTCAGTACTAGCTTTGCTGTATAGCAGTAAGATAGCTGTATGCCCTTCTCGGTCACCCTCCACCTAAACACTTGTTGTATTGCTGTTTGAAGACACTAGAGGCTGTCCAAGGTACGTAACCAAGCAGACGTACCATCAGTACCAAATAAACTACTGAAGAAGGACAGTCATTTGAAGACTTTTTCATAGGTGATGTCTAACAAGATTTTTTAACAGATTTTCCCTCATCCGTTTGTTTTATCACACTGTGGGCTAAATGGGACTAAATTAAAGGCATTCAGTAACAAAAACTGGATCTTTAATTGTGTTAATCTCCAACATAGTAAAGTGTGCAAAAAAAAATTCCTCTTATGACTTGTCGCTCATTTGCAATTTGATCTATATGTCCAGACTGCAAATAATAATAAATAAGAAAATGTGTATCTTTGACAATGAAGAGCTATAATGCCTGTCTGCTTATACTGTAGTTACAGTAGGATTAGGTACAGATCTATAGACCAGTGAAGTTAAATTATGGATTAAATGTAGGACTCTGTGAATAACAGGCTGGGCTCCACCCTTGTAACTTGTCCATTAAATTACAAGTCTGTGTCAGTACTGATTCAGAGCATATGGAAGGCTTTGGCTGGAGCAGGAGCAGAGAGGCTGACAAAGCTTAGCGCTCTCATTCAGATTGATATCCCCAACACCTCTCTTTGGGGAAATTAATGGATGTTACTGTAAGCAGCTTTCTCTCTTCCTCAAACCTTTTCTGCTGATTTCCTGCTTTTGTGACCCCTTCTGCCAGCTCTTTCTCCTTCTGTCTATTGTCTTTCCCTCTGTAGAATAATTGCTATGTTAAAGACCGCTGTGAGTTTCCCCAACTAGCTGTTTGAAAAGAGCATAGCGAGCAGGATGTAGCTGTTTGGTCCTCACTTGTCAATTCTTATGTGGTCCTCCTTCTCTTTTCCTGTACCCTTCTCACCTGTCTGCTGCTTTCTGTGCGGTTTTCTTGGCTGGTACCGTCACGTTAAGGCTAATTTTAGCTGTGTTTTGCTATTTCTGTTCCAGCCTCAAGAGGGTGCTCAAACAGTTAACTGGTTTAGTTCAGTTCAAAACAACTCTAGTGTGTTTATGTATATGATTTAATATGTTCAGGCTTGTGTGCAAGCTGTCAGTTGAACCCACTGTGTGGACCAAACAAACATTCTGAGACTGATATACTTTTAATTTTTGCAGTAATTCAAAAACAAAACTGCTGAGTCCTTACGTGGCCCGTGTACTCTTAAGAAACCGTTCTTTTAACAATCTGTAAAACTAACCTATTTATGGGGATGGAAGAAGTACTCAGATTGTTTACTTAAGTAAAAGTCCTGCATTCAAAATGTTAAGTAAAAATACGATGGTATTAGCATCAAAAATATACTTAAAGTAGTAAAAGAGCTCATTATGTAGAATGACAGTTCACATTAATGTTTTATTATTGGATTATAATTATTGATTTATTATTGT